TTGGCATTTTCTTAAAACCATCAGAAATTAGACATGTTCACAGAAAAAAGATTTTAAACTTCAATCCCACCGTAGAAAAACAACAAGTAACACAGCTGCAGCGCACACATCCGAGCCGGTGTCAAACCATGCTGTTTGCCAGACCGCCACTCGCTGACGAGACAATCCCAGGCTCTACTGGGGAAAATGGAATTTGCAGCAGCTGAATTCGGACCGTTTGTTGGACTGAGTGCCACACAAACAACGTTTAATCGAGGGATGCACCTTCACAAGACTAAGTTCCAGCTACTTTTTCCATTCACACGTGAGATACATTCTGGTCTTTAACGTGGGTCATATGTTCACAGAGGACTGGAGCTCCAGCACTGGAACTCCACTTTTAAGCCAAGTCTTCCTACATACTGGCACAAGATGATTTCAATATATCTTCTGGACTCAGAACAAGATCCTAGGTTCTTAAATGTATCATCAGGATAATTTTTCATGACAACTCTGGTATTCTAAACTGCTCGTCACATAAAACACCACTAGCAACTGTAACAAGCATTTGCAAAATCTCTGGAATGCGAACACAGGAGAAGTATAGAAACATGTATCCCAAAATCTATGAGCCATAAATAAGCCCCAGAGAGTATCTGAGGTTTGCTCATCACTTCAACTTGAACCCACATATTAATAAACTGAAATTATTTAAGTATATAAATCAGATGCTATCTTCTACTTGCCTCACAAATTAAAGATTAAAGCAGGGAAAATAAAGAGCCCTTTCATCTCTAGGAAACAACACTTCTGGTGGATTGAAGGGTTAAAAATTATTTCACCTTTTAGAAGACTTTTGTATGAGCTGACTCTGACAAGAAAAAAAGGAAGCAGATGCGTAATGAAAAGTCTTGAGAGTTGTAAAGAATACAAAATTCTTGCAGAACATGAAGATAATTCTTCATTCGTAATGGGAGATGAGCATAAAAAGAAAGGGATATTCCCCCCCACACACACAGAGTTCCAAGGCACCGTACGGAAAGACCCCTTCCCAGACAAAAGACGCCTCTAGCATAGAGAAAATTGTGGTTACAGGGACTATCTTCACCCTAAACCAGAGATGACAGCATTCTAAAGATCCTACTGACATGCCATTAACTCAAATATCTCTTGGATCTGGATAATTGAATACCAATAAAAAATTAGGAATTGACAAAAAGTCCATTTTCACTGGAACATTTGAAGGGAATTAACACTCAATGTCGGCACCAGGAAGCTGTATCACACAAAGCATAGCATTTAAACCCCTTTTTTCAGAGAGGGGTGGGAGAGGTGGAAGAGGAAGCTATGCAGTCTGAAAGAAATTTAGCAAAAAAATTCTACACTCTACTGAAAGCAAATTAGAGATAATGAAATTATTGAAAAATATTTATTTATGGTTTAAAGCTACCATGGTAAATAAAAAGAAATTATCAATAACTGCTCATATATCTGCTTTTTGATGCACTGAGGGAACAAACACAACAAAACTGAGGAAAATATTCTAATATTAAACATATGCACTCCCTAAATATACTCCCTCTGTACAAACAATCCATTTGGGAATTTGTTTCTACACCAAATGTACTGAGATGCGGCACTGTACGGCCATGTACAAGACAACACAAATAAACCTGAGAAAAGTACTCGAACACACTTAAGCTCTTGCAATAGTTTAAAGCCACAAAGTTGAAATATATTTGTGATCTGCCAACTTGGTATCACTGTTTGGATTGAGACAGGACAACTAACCACAAAATCACCAGGAAAAAAAAAAAAAAAATCGAATGGCTTGTGTTGTGTAAGTCACATTCCCTAAAGGTAGAATTTGTGAAGAATAAGGCAAAAGGATACAAAGTCATTCCCATAACCAACCCTCAGCCAGCACACACATCATCCGAACACAAGGAAAATCTGGTAAAGTAGCAATTACAGAATCCAACTGACGGATGGTGGTGGATGACATGGAAGAAGCACAAGAATTCTGACCATTTGATATAATGAAGATTTTAAAAAAGAAAAGTAGGTGCCATTTAACATTCAGCTTGCTTTGGCACACTGCAATAAAAACGTTTGCTATACGTAGGTCGTTTAGATAAAAAGAGGATGGGGTGGGGGGCATTCTCCTAAGCCAGTTCTACAAACTTTCAAAAATTACATCGTTTTAGGACAACACAACTTATTCTTTCTGCAGTTTTGTCTCTACACCTGTTAACTCACCAGACTTGGAATTGCTGTGTTCCTCACTTTCATCCAGCCTCAAAATTAAGGAAAAGGCTCTTCTCTGCAACCAGCACAGCTTGCTTGTTACTGCCCTCTACAAGTACATCAACTGAGTTGGAGATAAGGCAACATTTGAGGGGAAAGTGTTTGAATTAAAATTCTGATCTATACTTAGGGCATCATCTACGTATGTAACTTCTAGTGCAGAATATCCTAGGAATAACGCATACTTATGAATAAGAATTCCTGTTGAAAAACATACAGGTGCATTTTCGTACCAAAATAAGTCCTGACAACTGACTCGCTCCTTAAAATTTGAGGAGTGAGTTTCAAGTAAGCTTATCTAAACTATGATGATTCTAAACAACAATAAAAGAACATGTCAGTAAGCATCTGTGCTAGAGTCTCCTTCTCTTATTGCTATGACAACATTGGAAACTAAGTTATAAATAGAAACTAAACAAAATTATAATGCACTTATATGGGCAGCCATGATAATACACCAAATTGTGGTTTTGTTTGAATTATTTTTCTAAATACTTACAAAGTGTGATTTTTGCATGTTGTTTCCTACCATTTGTATGTAAATATAAATTAACTTTAACCATCGAAAATACTGAGTTGTAGAGATAACCCTTTTCTGCTTTGTCCCTTGTTTAGCAATCCAGTTACACTTAAAAGCCAGAAAAAGAATTCTGGGTACATCATCTGTATCACTGAGGGCACTTTCTCGACACCAATGGCAAAGCAGCCAGCTCTGGGCTGAATCTCCGCAGGCAAAAAGAACCACTCAAAAAGTAATTTTGACATCCAATTTAGCTGGAAGAACTGCCATACTGTGTAAAATTATTGTAAAACAATTTTAAAACAAAAAATAAATTCTAAACTCCATTCTGACTTTTTCCTATTTCCAAGGTATTTAAAAGGTTACACTAATTTATCAGCAGAAGGAAAAATGTAAGATTTCACAAGCTCACGTTCCAATATTTAATATTTTCTCATTCTTTCATTTATATCTTTCCAAGTCATTTGTATGGAGCTGGAAGGCTTACAGCTAACTAAAGCCACATTATGATTGGTTTTAATTCTTTCACTTTTTTTTTTCCCACAAGAAGAAAATAGATTGACATCCACTGAAGATGTGTTCCTTCCCTTAATTCAGAGCTGCGCAAAATCCAATAAAAAGAGAACCGACGCATCACACAGTTCAACGATTTCCCCCCTCACATATCGGCCTTGCAACAGCCTCAGTTTCAGACCTGAGACACTTGAAATATAATAGAAAACAGCACATTAAAATCAGCTTTAATTTTTTATCGACCCAAAGTTGTTCTTGAATCCAAGTCCCTTTCAATGCTTACTACAGGCTTACTGCCCAGAGTAACTGATAGAAGTACTTCAATAGATTTGCTTATGACTAATCGATCCTGAGTTTGGATTCTATCCCAGCCTCAGTGCCAGCTACGTTAAAGCAACTATAGTGCTCTTTCAAAATCGAAATCCTACCTCTTCTTTCTGAAGCTGCACTCAGAACTGTGAGAATAATGTCTAGAAATACCAGTGTTTGGTTTTCCACTCGTGTTCTACTTTATAACGCGTGATCCAAATCAGATAAGAAACAGGTTATCATATTTATTAAAAGAAATGCAGGTTCTACAGAATGTAGTGTTTAACAGCCTCCAAGAAGTAAATATCTATATTGGTAATAAGAACACAATATGAATATATTTAACAAGATTCTCTATTTCCCTGAAAAGAACTCTGAATTACTGGTTCCTGCACTGCCAGGCTTATCTTCCAGGAGAAGACACCACTAATATACAATAAAAGATTTGACTGTGCCCCAGCAAGACACAAAGAAGCCAATGAATACCACGAATCATTGATGTACTGCAGAAAAGGAAGCCTAGGGCACATCTGAAGGCATACGTACAACGTTTCCAGTTCCCATTTAAGAAAAATCAGACATTACAGAAGCAGTAATTCTAAGCTCTCCTCCTCCTAAAAGCCTTACATAATCCAGATGCAACAGCCTTTAGCAGTTACGTCATAATCCTACTCGAAAATAAAATTTTCAGGTAAAAGCACATTACAGGCAAACGATGAAACAACGTTATGTAACACTCTGATTTGATTATTACTCCTTATCGAGTTTCCCCTAAATAACTACCAAAACTGTAGTAAAGAGTTCCCTTTTTGCTGCGAGACCTACGACATCTGTACTAAGTGCTCTTGAAAGGGCTCTTCCAATTCTACTAGATTTAGAACAGTAAAATAACAATCTATAAAAAAAACTCACTTTTATTACTATTTTACGCTAATGGGATCTAGGCTGCTTCTATAAATCAACCCAGATTTGCTCACACAATATTGTTTACAAACATGTAAGGACTATGGTAACTCCAAATTTCATTATAGCAAAACACTCATGCACATAATTTCCAAAACTCAGGCAGTACAGAACACCTTTGATTGTGTTAATTGTGATAATTCTGTATCACTAATATACATCTTTACTTCTTTACAGCCCACAAGTAAGGTTTTTATAAAGCATCAGATTGGCAAAAGAAGAACTACAGTAACTCCTCACCCAAGGCTTTTCAAGTGCTCTGTAAAAACCAAGTGGTGCCTGGAGTCATTCTGAGTCATCAGAAGTGCACCACAAAAGTGTACTCAGCTCCTAAAGGAATATTTTTATTTCGGGCAATTTTCAAAAAGATATGACTGTTCCAACTTGCACTATCGTGAATGTATGTATTTAAAAAAAAAGTATCTCAAAGTAACCTCACCAAAAATCCTTACAAAAATACGAACTATTCTTGATCAATATGGGTAATAAACTACAAATATTAAAAAAAAAATAAAAAGCAGAACAACATGATGTAGTTTATGAAATCAAACATACATATGTTGGGGGAAAACAAACAAACAAAAAACCCGCCAAACAAACAGACCTCTTACTGCCCTAAAATCTTAATTCTACTCCCCACACACCCCGTGTGAAAAGAAATAACCAGGAGCAAGATTACAAAATCAATAGGATTTAAGTATCAGAGAAACGTGATACTTTGCCACAGACACGACGTTTCTCAGCTTTTGGAACGGTTGATTTTCACACGCACATGAGGTGTGTTTCACAGGGCACGTTTTCGGGTTTCCTTGTTGTTGTGGTCTTTGGGGCTGAGGAGGAGCTACAGAAATTCGCAGCAACAGAGCATTCAGATCCTGGAGGGGAATGATCACTCCCTGTTTTCCATGCTGCCGTTCCTGGACGGCGGGATGAACCTGAGCACAGCACAGCTCCTCTTTCCGACCACCCCGGAGGACGGACACTTCTGCCGGGCGAGAAGGAACGCAGAGAAGCCACGAGAACCCATGACAATGAGAAATGCTGGGCAGCTGAACTTGAATTGGTTTTGTGTTGTACAATGAATTTTGGATTGCATTGAAATGTGTTTTACCATTAACATGTATTTTACCAATGAAAGATGAAATACCAGTTTTCTCTAACTTCAAAATGGAAATCTTTACAACTTACACTTTCATTAAACTACTGGATTCTTGTAACCACACCTGCCTCCTTGCCCTAATTAGCTATTATTAATGACACAGCTAGATATTATGATAATTTTCTACCATTCACAAAGCTTCTCTACCCACTAAGAGAAATTCTATTAACTCGGAGCATTTTACCATCTGAAAATTTTATCTAATGATGTCAAAATACTTTAACTAGCGTAGTTAATCAGATGCCTGCTTATCGTTACAATTTTCCAGGTAGGTGCTCCTGTCTTGTTTAAACTCCTCCCAAAGTCACCTTAAGTTAGAGTTATTATTGACATCTGCTTAAATTCATGCATTAGCTTAATCCTGTTGCGTGCCAGAATCTATTTTATATCTTCACCAGAAAAAGTGTGTTTCTGATTTGTTGGAATAAAAAAAACCAAACCTCTAGGTCTCCAGATACAAAAATCTTAGCGGAGAAGGGCAGCATCAACATAACAAAATCCAACGTGGCAATGGAGTTTACCTTTAAACTGATGTAGACTGTCATCTTAACCACTCAGATTTCATGGCCAGTATCAGTAATTAGAGTTTTCAGTACAAAACCAAAACTTTCAGCAATTAAATTATATTTCAATAATAGTTCCAGCCTTTCTGCCTTTGACCAGTAAAGCCTAAAACAAATAATGTCTTCACTTTAAGATGTTAACTGGAGCAAAAGTCATCTTTTCTGTCTAATTCTAATTCAACTTCTGAAATTAAGAATGGGTTTTGTTTCTTCAATATATGATCATAGCAGCAGTGATCTCTTCCAGGACATAGATACTGAATCCATAGATTGTCAGCTAATGCCTCTTTTAAACAGCCATACTGCTATAAAACTGGAAATAGGATGATTTTAAAGCTAACAGTTACTCTTAACACCATTTGTTCTATCTGGCAAACAAAGAAATGAGATACTGGCTCATTTTGGGCCATGCAGAAGATCACCTCCTGAACCTGGAGATGTGTTGCTCTTCAAACTGGTATGTAAAGTCATTTTAGGCTTTCTCATGAAGAGTTCCAGATTCTCCTGTGGTTACATACAACCACTTGGAAGAAAGGTCTCGGAAATATTTTTCAGCAACATACTCACAAAAAAAGAAGCTGAACAGAGTCCAGTTAAGACAGTTTTGGATCACCTAATCTAATTCTAGCAACCTGTAGCAATTAACTGAAGCACAGAGAAGGAATATTGGAATGTTCTGTTGTAACACATTTAGATTAGAACTAAACTAATGTTTTCATTTCTATAAATCAAGGAAAATTGTCAACAATATAACCTATTTTTTAAAACTTAGCCACTGAAAACATAATATTGATCTGAATACAGATAGGTTAAGGAAACAGAGAAAGCTGTTTAGAAAAATCATCACTGCCTAAAAATAGCTTTAGCCTGTACCTACTGCCTCCTTCTCGAGAGGAAGAGTACCCTGTCATCAGTAAAATCAAGAACATTTACTCTCCTCTACTGTGCAATTTGAAGTGGCTACATTTCAATGACTGTGCAATACATCACATTACCATTTATTCACGTCAGCCAAACACGGGAGGCTGAAACCACAGAGGGAGGTCATCTTTACATTCAAGGCCAATATTTCCCTCTCTGAGGCACAAAACCCTCAGGTTGACTATTATTGTCTAACATTAAAGGAATTTAAAGATACTGTATTTATTCAAACACAGGAGCTTGCTTAAGCTCATTCACAGCAGTACACTCTACATTTCACCATTTTGTCAACAAACCCATACTAAACCTTTTGCCAATGCAGTTGTTATCACATATTCCTAAATCGAGCCTAGAAAGCTGCAGCCCACTCAGCCATCCACGGCCGTATTTCTCAAGGAGAAGATTATCCATGTGTAGTGTAGAGGGCACTTGGGACAGCAGCATTCCTGCACCTCTGTGCAGCACCACCCAATGTCGAGGTACGTCTTTAGGGCTGACATGTTCAGAACTAAGACATCTGTTTTTCTACGCTAAGAAGCCCTTCAGCCTACAGAACATTCCAGAAACCAGAAACAGAGTGCCATGAAAAGAAATTTCAGTAAGGCAGAGCAGTCTCCCCAGCCCAGCAGATCAAATAGTCCTGGCCATGCATGAAAGAGAGAGAATACACCAAAAGAAACATCAGAGCAGGGTTGGGAGGAAAGGCATTCATTTCACTGCTACAGAGTCCGTATGTGGGATTTCATTCAAACGAAGGGGAGAAACAAACTCACTTAAATATAAGGTAACAAGAACAGGACTAGAACCATAAAACACCCTACTAAGGAAAACAAGGAGATTCGTGCAATTCCGTAATTTTTCCTATGATTTATAAAGCAAAGTAGAAAGGTAGAAGATACAAAATGGCATCTGCTCCTAAAGGGTACTAAAAGGAAAGTCCAAACTCAGTTGCTTATTGCTGAGCAAGAACCACCCAAGACACATGACGGAGACTCAGCTGCCAATGCCCGTTGCTCTCCACACTTTCCATGCTCTCCACAGGCGACCTCTGCCAGACCACTGCTACACACATCCCAGCACTTATGAGTGCATAGTTGTGAAAGAGACAGTAAGTGGATTCAGCTCACTTAGAGATTTCAAAAATAAACATCACCCTCCCGTTCTGTAAAATCTTGAATTGAGATTTGCTCTTCCTCAGCTTCCTACAACATACAAAGCCTCTGCACGTCTTCCCACGCTGCTTCAGGACTTTTAGGTTGCATGTGGTGACGTCCACATACTTAGGTCCAACCTGACTCTGGCACACATCCTGCCTAAGAAGCTCTCCCTGGCAAGCTCTTAGGAAAGGAGACACCAGAAGACTACGTTAAAAGCTGTCTGAAAAGGTGAAAGAAAACACTTCAAATTGTAATTGTACCCGTATATAATGTGACAAATAATTATAAAAAGGGAGATGATCCTACTATTTTACAAGTATTGCTATGAGTTTAGCAGCAAGGCAAGGAAAAAAACTTAGTTAAAAGAATTCACATAATATAGCTGTCTAATGCAGCTCTTCTTCAGCAAGTCCATGTTTATCTTCAACAAGCTGTACAAATGTTTTCGGCACTTTTCAAACGAGCTCTTCCCGTTACTGCATGCAGAACTGTAGAAAAGTCACTAGATGTTCTAATTGGTTTGAACATCATCACAATTGCACTTGTTTGAAGTTGGCATTGAGGTGTTAATCACCCACAGAACTCTGTTACTGTGACAGCAGCACTTGGACACCATTAAATAACGACTGAAATAATTACTATATTAGACCAAAACTAAATGTACATTATTTGTTTAAAGGTTTCGCAATATATTTTCCGTTAGTTATAGCACTGATTGAAACATTAATCTATACCTTGTGTTAAACATGATTTTACAAAAAAAAAAACCCACCACAACTTTTTCAATTAAATTTCTGATATTTCGTATTACAACCATTTTCTGAAATTTTAATTACTTGTAGATCCTACCTGAGAGATTCTGCCATCCGCCTTAAGTCTTCATTTTGCTGCTTTAAACGTTCAAGTTTAGCGAGTATCTTGGATAACTCGCGACTAGAGTGATCTGGGTGCTCACTGTCTCGTACCAGGTGTCCACCAATATAAAAGAGTAAAGTTCCCCAAGCAAAGAGGATGAGCATAATCCAACGCCAGGAACCAGTCCATGGCCGCATTTTCAGAAGTTCAATTCACTCCAGAACTGCTTCTGCTCACAAAATAACAAACATTCTCAGTCCTTAGCCTGTACAAAAGTGCACAATTTTAGTTCCTCTGCTTCACCACATTGTTACTGGAGAAAAATTTTTCTCAGTGTTTATCTTACTGCAACTCCTTAGAGAAGATCCTTATGGGGCTGTACATAGAAAGCATTAATATTGCATCATTCTTCATTTATATTCTGTGAAAAGAATAAAAAAAAATCTGAAATTATAATTCTGGTATGTAAAGATATATTGGATTGCAATTAAGCTGAACGTAGTCACTAACATTCAGGAATGACGACAGACAATGTTACCACTTCCTGGCAGCTTTTAACTTTCCACAAAAAATATGCTGAGTTCAAGAACGCATGACAAAGAATATGTAATTAATTCTGGGTTTGAAATAGCCAGAAGAAATGCTACTTTTTATAAGGTAAATATTTACCAATTTGTGTGTCATTTCACACATTAAAATAGCTCAAAAATCATGCTATGGTAAACTTAATAGTCTCCTTTACTATCAACAATTACAAATTCATAATTACAAATTCACCTTCCTTTTTTCACTTTTGCAAACTCCATTTTTATGATGGCTCCCCCCCTGTTTCAGAAGAGGTAAAGCCATTCTAACGATATATTCTACTGTTTGCAAGTAGATTGGCCCAGCAGCAGCTGTAACACTAATTAAGCAACTTGCAAGCACTGCAAAAAGTGTAACCAATAGTTTTTTTAAAAAACAATCCATTGTATATTGTGCTCTTACATTTATAGTGGCCTCTGAAACGCCCATCTAAAATTAAACCTCAAATTTTTTTTCTTGCTTAAAATGGTAAGACAACACAACTTCTCTCTTTACCCCTTCCCACCGTACTTGCTAAAGCAGTTAAGAACACTGAACACTTAAGAGGCAGAACAGAGGGGGATTTCCAGGAGAACCTATGTGGCACTGCTACACTCACACATTTGACTTTAGAAAGTGATTTTTAGAAACGTTTTTCTCCCGCTTCAAAACTCTCAAACCCATTTCGACAAGTGTTATTACTAAAACAATAAAAATGCAAAAAAAAAAAAGCTCTAAAGGTAATACTTTCGCTTATCTAAAAACACTGCGTTATTTAAAAAAAATGCAAAATCACCTCAACTCATTTTCTACTTGGCACAACATCATTCAATGAGTATAAGAATCTCCTCATTCTATCTAGAATAGATTTTATAATTCAACTGATCAGCACGTTCAAAATCTTCTTAAGCACTTCTCACTTCTTCTCCTCTTTCTCTGCAATGTAACATGTCTATCTTTTGTGAAAAGCATATATTTTCAATTTATATTCAGTTTCCAAAACAATCTGTATTTCCAATCCTCAAATCTGTAAATCCACCATATTTCCTCTGAGATGCTATCCACATCCACCTTGTCCCAAATTATTCTGTTCTGTTTAATCCTTCTCTCACTTAAACTTCTTTACCTTTCATCTAGGTTTTTTTTATTCTGTTCCAACTCATTTCAAGTTTAGAGAAAAGACTTCCCAACTTGCAATAACTTCCAAACTCACCCAGTCATGTAGATATGCCTGGAGCATGCACTTCCAGACACAAACACACTAACACAGTATTAAAAATGCTGAAAATTTTCTCTAGTTATCTTGAAGAAGGGCTTTCGCTTCTATATTTTTGAAAGAGGCAGAAAAATTCCACTTAAGACTAGTAAGATGGTACACAAGACAAACTATTTGAAAACTGAATATTCCTAATGAAGTGGAAAACATTTGTAGTACCTCTTTCAGGATTTTCCACCTAGTGCATCTGTGACAAGGTGAGTTATAAGTTATGTAACGTCAGAATCCCACACTAGGAGCACGTCATTTTCCGCAGATCTCTAGGAAAGCTTTCTATAGCTTTGGCTTTAGCTTGGCAAAAGCTGGGACTGCCTTCAGGAAGACAGTGGTTTCTTCAACAGTCTTGACAGATCACAGCACGAGTGAGAAGAACCCACATGACATGAAACAGAACAGGTCATACCCAACCGACGGCGGGTTGTTGCTCTAGGTGAAGCAAGCCTAGTTACTTGCAGAAATGATTAATATAAAACCTCAATGAACTGACGTTTAAGGTTTGAGTGGGAAAGGGTGTTCTTACACCCATACTGCCAACCACCAAGAAATTGGTTGACTGTGGCTGCAACAGGCTAAGTGAAATCATAAAGTCGGTGAAGGTGGAGGAAAGAAAAAATAATAGGAGACTTCAAATATTCCTCTACTGATTGGGTAAATATTATGCTGGGAATTGTGATGAGAATAAACAGATTGCTACAGACATCATAAAATTACTGCTTAAGAGAAAAGCGACTACGAAAAACTCTCGACTTAATCGTAAGCAGTTTGCAGAACTTAGATCAAAACGTTTCTGCTGGAGGACTACTTTATAACAGTCTGCATAATATACTCAGATATGATCTTCTAGTGAATAACAAAATAAAAAAATTCACTACAGTTGTGATTAATTTCAAGAAGCGAAACTGTTTTAAAAGAGAAGTGGACTTCACGCCACCTGGAATAAAACAGCAGGTAAAGATGACTGTTACAATTAGCAAAGAAGTTCTCCTTTTAAAACGTTACAAGCATGATCAAATGATAAGATAGGTAAGACTGTAAATTCTGGTACATTAAAGACTTAAAAATTAATACTAAACCTTTTATCCAAAGCAGATAGCTTCCTAGAGACTCCAAGGTCAGCAGATGATGAGAGCATATATGAATTGTTTAGAGTCCTTTGCAAGGAAAACAAGGACTTTCTTTTTTTCAATCTGTTTTTCGTAACAGAAGAGCTTAAGTGGACACACAAACCAGGTACCTTCTTTGTAAGAGGAAGGGTTGGTCTGTCTCAAGCAACAGTGTTAGTAGACCAGGGTATCGAACAAATCCACAAAATTAATATAACAAGTCATCAGAACAGATGGTATTCTCCCAACAGTTCGAAGAAGTTAAAGAACGCAAGAGTTTAATTATTAACAGTAGTATGTAACCTCTCACTTATAATCACCTCGTAGAAAAGTAATGGAAAATGAAAACAGTAAACGGAATTCTTTGTAAGGGCTCCAGCAGGGATCCCTGCAACTGCAGGCCAGAAAAAAAATGATATTCATGTCAGGCAAACTGGCAGAAATAATAAGATGAAACAAACTGGTAGATCTAAGAATGAATGTAATCAAAAGTAAAAAAGTACTAATGTGGCTTTTGGAAAGAGAAATTGTGCCTCAAATTTATTAAAGTTATTCTGAAGATGTAAACAAACACACAGGCAAGACAGAACCAGTTCTAGATGTTACACAGTTGATCTAGTCAACACGGATTTCCAAATGGCATTCAAGAAGGTTTCAAGGGAACTAAGCCGCATGGAAGAAGAAAGTTCATCATGTGAGTCATCACTCCATTAAAAGAGAAGAAACTTCCAGTAAGACCAAGCAATCAGTTCAAGTGGAAAGAATGATCAGGGCCTTCCCTGGGACTCACAGCAGAGCCCATACAGTTGGGCATGTTTGTAAGTGATTTGGAAAACAAGGTGAAAAGTGAGGTAACAAAGTCTGCACATACAGTACAAAGGTTGATAGCAATAAACTGAAGGACATCAAGACACTGCCTAATGAAGAAATAAAATGAAACATGAAAAATCAGTTTATATCAGTGTGTAGAGCTGTGATTAGATGACCTTTGAATCATCACCCATCAGGAATGGACTTTAGCTGTGATAGGTAATTCTGCAAAACATCAGCTCAGCATCAGGCGAAAAGCAACCAGTCCTCATAGGTTTAAAAAAAAACAAAAAACCCACAAACCTCAAAAAACCCAAAAACCAATCAAAAAAATCCCTCCACAAACACAAACCCAGGAATCCCAAAAATACACCTCAACAGGACTTTGATTACTTCATACCATTCTGACTCCACCAACTCAAAAAGATACAGTAGAAATAGAAACAACACACAAAAGGGTTACAAAAGTTAGCAGAGACTCAATGGCCTTCAGTGAGTGGCTAAGCAGATGAGCAGAAAGGACAATTCAGGAATTAACATGGCAAATCTATAAAAATCATTAATGGTATAAGACAGTAAACAGGGTATAATTGTTTGCTGTTACTTCCAGGACAAGGGGACAAGTAAAACATCCTGATTTGAATAGATTCAAAACCAAAGAAGGGTTTTCTCAAAATGCACAATTCCAGCATGAAGCTCATTTTGATCAAACACTGGAGGTGTTAAAAGTTTACACCTAAGGCCACTAGACCATTTCAAGGAAAGTTAAAATTCATCAAAGGTCTCAGAATCCCAAGTCACACATTGTTGCAAACTGGAGAACATATCAGGGTAGTACCACCATAGTATCCTGCTTCTTGCAGTTTTCTCTAGACATCCACCACAAGCCAGTCTTGGAGATACATCAAGCCACATAAGCCTTTGATCTGACACAGTGTGAATACTTCTACAACAATATTGTAAATGTTATCAAAGGTTTTGTGTTATCAAACATAAAAAGACCACATTTTAAAAGAGTTAACCATCCTATATTTACTTTATAAAAACAATTTTTAGAACTCATTATTAATAAAAAAGTAAATTCTTGAGTTTAAAATGTTTAAAAGGATAAATAGAAACTCAGGAGAAATATCAGACAATCTTTTTGAGGAAGAAAACAGAATGATAACTTTGTCCACTTGTCTGTGGTTCTGAGGAGAAGACTGGTCAAGTACGTCTGGCTTTCAAGAGGTCATAAAATTTTCAAGTGTCTATAGGGTGGAAAAATAACTAATATCATTTTTTATTTAGGTCACTGTATATCTCAGGCTATAAATGGTGTACAGTAATTATTTTCAAGTACATTGTTCTTGTAGCACCTTCACTCTGCTTTTATACAAGGGATTTTAAAGTACTGACATTTCAAATTTAACTTTAATAGTAGACCAGTTTTTACCTCCTGA